CCCCATTTTTCTGTTCAAATGGCAAAATCTCTTAAAGGCAAAAAATAACCGATCATCATTGCCTTTTTCACCCTGGATCAGGATACAGGCTGCGAACAAACACTTTCCACCTTTCCCTATCCTGGGCGAGTCACTTGATGTCACTCCATGTCTTCTCACTTTTCTGTACATCCATTTCCATGACTCTTCTCCAGGTTCCACGTTTCTCCTTGATCTTTTACCCTGTGGGTTCCAATCTAACACTTTCCTTGTTTTGCAGCTGCTTGACTTCCTGAAAGTGTGTCCACTCCATCGCCAACGCCTTCTTCCCACCTCATCCCTGACTGGGCTGTGTCTCGTTCTTCTTAATAATTCCTCGTTGGTGATCCTGTCTGTCCATCTGATCCTCAGTAGCTTTCTCAGACACATGTTCAAGAAAACCAGGATCCTCTTTATGCACGTCTGAGATGCGTTCCATGTCTCACATCCATACAACAGGGCTGACTTCACATTTGAGTTGAAAACCCTCAGCTTTGTTCGTAGTGAGATATCCCTGATCCTGCAAATTCTGTTCAAAGAAGTAAATGCAGTCTGTGCCTTTCCAATACGAGACTTTATAAATTATTTCAGTGCCTGTTCCTCCCTCTCTGTCAATTATGCTCCCAAGATAGCATAAAGATTCAACATCTTCTACTGCATTTCTCTCTACTGAGACCTGCTCCTTTCGTAGTACATCTATCCTTAGGACTTTTGACTTTCCGGGGTGGACCCTCACTAACAGACTCCGATAGGCTGTTTAAAATTGTGGTCTTTGCTTGCATCTGTTCCTCAGTGTGTGGCAGAAGCGCCAAGTCATTTGCAAAATCCAGATTGTCCAACTGTGTCCATGGGGTCCACTGTATACCATTTCTGTGTCCTCTGGTGGTTTCCTTCATCAGCCAGTCGATTGCCAAGATAAAGAGGAAAGGTGACAGTTAACACCCCTGTCTCACACCAGTCTTGATGTCAAAGCTGTCAGTGAGTTGGCCATCATGTATAACCCTGCAACTTGTCCCTTCGTACATGCTCCTGATGAGGTCAACCAACTTCTGTGGGATTCGGTGATGTCTCAGTATCTTCCACAGTGTCCCCCTTTTTCTGTTCAAATGGTAAAATCTCTTTAAAGCAAAAAATAACTGATCATGTACTGTACCACTTGAACCGTTCTCACCGACTACTATAAGCTGCATCATGTGTGAACCACAAATATGCTAGTATCATCACGAAGCCACTGAACAAAAAAGTGCTCAGTAGATAAAAAGACAAAAACAAGGACGACTTACTGTTACAATGACAATGGAATATCAATAGGAGAAACAGACAACATGAAATCTTGCTAATGTCCTCAAGTATCCTTTGTGACTTACCTCATTTAGCATATGTCTAATCATTGCCAGCAACACGAGAGCAGCGTCGGGGCAAAGGTCAATTCCCTCCCGCGACAGAAGGTGCATGGGTTTGCTGGCCGGAACGCCAAACAGGACAGTCCATACAGAATCTATGTTGAGAGCCTGGGTGTGGGGGGAAGGAGGGGAAAGAAAGCATATTTTATATAGGAGGTTCACCAAGAGGCACATGCTATACTGGCTGGGTTACTTTTTGCTATGAACCTCATAACAGACACCCTTATTCCAAGCTCTGCCTAAACTTTTCCACTCTATTTTTTTGGTACTTACTCCATTACTGTCAGATCTGGACAAAAGATATTACGTCATGGTGAGGATCTTTACCTCCAAAGGGAACCCTGCTATGACACAGGTCATTGTCAACAGTCACCCATCAGATGTACATCAGATTTTAAAAAACAAAAGGTGGAGGAAGTGGAAAGAGAAAAAGATAGATTAACAACAAAGATAGACAAACAAATTTCAATGACGTTTCTAATTTAACAAGATACAGAGTCAAGATTTGAGCAAACACTTTGGAATATTGATGAGGAAAAGTTATTGCAAAGAATAAAGGTAGAATCCTTGTTAAAGTAGTCACTCCACCCTCCCTTACGTGACCCTTCCATTTCCATCCACTTCATATATACACACAAAAAAGTCCCTCTCGTTACCTGTCCTTCAGAGTTAATGGTTCGGTTCTGTTGTCCCAGCAGCAGAGCCATGAGGAGAAAGTAGACATCAGCCACGCTCGTGTGCCGAGCCAGGAGCCACTGCAAGGCCTGGAAGCCCGGGACATGGCACACCTCCTGCTGGATCTCACGTTCGTGGTTACGTGCGTGAGTGCCGACATTAAAACCTGAGGGGAGGGAATTCATAATGCAATTTCATTGTTGAGAAAGTTTTAAAACTTTTAAGGTGGATGGTCACTGGGGTGTGTCATTCATCAAGACTTGACAATCTCAGCTAAAAAAAAAAGATAGGATGCTGCACAGTGACCAACAATGACATGTAATATATAATGGGTGTGTGTGCAAGTGTGGTTGTGTGTGTACAAGCGTGTTGATGTGAATGTACATGTGTCTACTTATGTATCTATGTCTTACGTAATTCACTGTAAACCAAATTTCCACATGTGATCAGTACAAATGGAATATGAATTTCTTTTTAAAATTTCTTTTTATAAGTAGACACAACAAAGGGCATCTCAAAGGCCAACCACTTGGTCCCCATCAGGCCCCCAGGCCGACAGGCAAATATTCCAAGAAGGAAGAGAAAAATGAGTCAGCAGACCCAGTTTTGATTCGAATCTTGAATGTAAAGTCTGGTAAGGATTTGGCACCCTTATCTACACTGTATGGTTATTTCAGAATCAGAACAGGTAAGTTTAACGTCTGTCTGCAATATAACCAAACTGGGTGGGTGGAAAGCTTTGAGAAAAAAATACTGTTCAAATAACTCAAGTTCAAGAACACCTTCCTGGGATTCCAACCAAGGCCATCCACACAGGAGTCCAGCCTGATACTAACTCAGCTATTGGTGAGCCCAACTTTGAACACTTAAATGGCATATCAAGTTCTACAACTACTGTGCCACAAGTGCTTGCTGAGGTATGAGTAACAGCTGAAAGTAGATGGAGATACAACTAAAACTGTTTCTTGAGAGAACACATGTAATATCTACAACAACACATCCGTAAAAATGATACAACACACTTCATTACAGTAAGAAAACCTGAATTGGAAAAGTGGGCTTTTTAAAAAAAATCCTGAACACAACATGTGGAAATGTTTTATCTGCACTCTCTCTATCTGTACCAAAAATTCTGAAGCTTGATGTGGCCACTATTGTCACAGCTGATACTAAATACAGATACACTTTGAAGACTGTTTAATTGCATTCAGCCGAGAAGCTCACAACATGGGATAACTTTATAAAAAGAGTTTGGATCAGATCACTCACCCAGCATCACGGACATCTGATTCTTGAGCACCGTCTCCGTCCCACCCATCCAGCCCCCACCATAACTGCCCTCGCGGAAGCGCCGGACGTTCTCTGGATTTCGGAACATGACCACCAGGATCCGCAGGACAAGGACCACAGTGTCACGGTGTAGGTGGCTCTGCATGAATAGCAACAGCCAATCGAAGCCCAGGATGCGCTGCACATCCTCACACATTCTGTGGGAAGAGGACAGAAAGTGATAATTGTAATTTTTATTCCAAATTCTTTATGCCTTCATCGACACAGTTTAGATTATTTAGGAAACAAGTTATTTCACAATCATTTGTGTTTAAAAGTCTATTGTGCTGTAGACACAGGCATCATTGGCTTTCAGTGGTTTTACTAAAGAGTATAATTATCCTAAAAAGAAATACAATTGTTCCAACAAAAAAAAGACAATTGTTCTATAAAGAAGTATAAAGGTTTCATAGAAGTAGAAAGGTTCAAAATTGCTGCACAGCTAACAGCAATAAACTTGAGCCCAAGTTTTTGACAGTATAAACATCAACTTATAACACCAAAACCAAAGCTTCCACATTGTTACTTAGAAGTCAAGCATGTTTAGAACTGTGCCAAGCTCTAGACAAACTCACTGTTGGTTGAGAGGACTGCTGCTGCCGGGAGGTTTGATGAGGCGAAGAATCATGTCCAGAAGGATGTTCCTCAGTTTCACTTGGTGCATCATCTGAGCCAAGGAACAGTCACCTGCAATGCATACAACAGAATAGGCAACTTTCAGTATATACTAAAGCATAATCTTTCATCAGCATGTGTATCTCAGCTTTCAGCATCTCAACAGATTTGATTTTTTATTATACCTCAATCATCTAGTTTCAACAGAATTATCAAAGAGACAACTCTTACATTTTAATATCTAACTGTTGAAGGAAAAAGCAACTGGTTTCCAAAAGCCTTGAAAACAAGCTTTAATACAATGTTAGGAATTTTTTTCTTTTTAGCAGCCAACGAATCAAGGATCCCTGTCCAGATATAGAGGTGAACAAAGCCAAGCTGAATCTCAGAGAATTTAGCAACATTTTCACCATCAGTAAGACGACATTTCCTACCAGGCATCTCTCCGGGCTCTTCACCAAGACTTCCATCTGCTTTGGGGTTGTTCAGCTCAAGACCTCTCTCCAGGTAAGAAGACACAGGGAGAGTAGACACTAGAAACTGGCCAAACCTGATTGAAAAACAAACGAAAATTTCAATATTTTGAAAATAACTTATACATTTTGTACACTAGAGGCAAATGTAACTCTACTATATATCACATTCCTTAGAAAAGGATGAAAATTTTTAAAAATCATATACAAAGTAATAAATAACTGACAGGACTAAAGTTACTAGCTTACACTCTACACTGTTAGCATAGCAGTGGTATCATAAATTGTCCATTTATTGACAGTCGGCATGAAATGAGTTCAAATGTGTAGTTACTTGGGCGTGTCAGCAAGCATCAAATGGCTAGAGTAAAGCCATGGCAGAGTCTAAAAGTATCTATTATGTCATGGGTGATTTTTATCCCGTCATCACGAAGATGAATTTCCCCACGAGGATGTTGTTATCGATCCAGTCCCCCACGAGGATCAAAAAGGTTTGTTTTTCATTCTCTGCTGTTCATGCTTTTTTGTTTCTAGATAAAGAACAGACAGGAAAAAGTCCAATTTACTGTCAGCTTAGTCGTACACTTTGACCACATCAATGTCCTTCATTCCTTCTAGACCACCTAAAAAAAATGAAAGCAAAACGGCACAGAAAAATAGATAAAGTAATTCAGTCTTGCATATGAACCTTAACTGATTCCGTCCAGGATTTTTTCAGGCTCAAGACAGAATTATTTTTCCCTGTTCAGTTTTAGACCTGGGGTGCATCTATTTAATGCATTACTGTGAAGTTACTCTAATATGTATTGTCATATACCAAACTGATGGGAATAAATAGAAGAATCTGTTTCTATCAATAACAATGACCTATAATCTGTTTGTATTGCATTTTCCTTCTGACAAAAACGAATGAGAAAAAAAAATTGTGCAACAGCTCTTCGAAAATTTCGACTTACCGCATTTTCTCAGCTTTACAAGTCCTTATAATCCATAGGAATCAACACAACATTGTAGCGATATCACCCTAGCACACATTTATGCAAGAATTTCACAAATTTAGTTGAATATCTTTCTTTGAAGAGCCTTTTTATTATACCAGGTTCCGTGTTGTTTACCCTTAGATCTAGCCTATATCGCAACAACAAAACAATGATTTTTGCAAGAATTTCGCGGAGTTTCGATTTATATTGGCTCTCAGAGATTGAGGTCAGGTTTGTTTACAAGTTCTACTTCCTTTCGACAACTTAAAAAGTAGGAACTATGTTAAAAAGTGCACCTTTGTTTCGGATTTCGTTGAGCCGCTCACAGCGGCCGAATGGACGCAGCAGAAAAACTCAGAGCCGCTGTCAACGGCTGAATGGACAGTTAACGAGCCCATTACCAATACATGACACAAAATAGACACGTAAACATTTTAGTGCCTATTCAGGTGCTTGGAGAGGACACATTATAAAAATTTAAAACTTCATTCCACTAAGCCTGTGAGTTGTGTACCTGAGAAGGCCGGCATGGTCTGGGGGTCCACTGAGCAGCTCTCCTAGCACGTTGGATATGGACTGGACTGTGGGCACAGCCAGGCGCGGGTCTTTCAGGATGTGGAGAAGTTTGTTGGTCAGGCCCAACTTGCGCATGATGCTGTGGTTACTTCTCTGTTCACTGGGGACAGCGCACACATAAAGGGTTAACATTAAGGTGTATAGCACAGTAAAGCCAGTATCATTTCTCTCCTCACTAGGGATGACACAGACGTACCAGGTTATCATAAGGGTGTTAAGTATTCGATGTTGTTGCCTATTCATAATGATATGCAATTTTACCGCTAAAAACTTTCATACCAATTAAAAGAGTTGACTTAACAAGCAATTTTAGATCTCATCTTCCCAAATCCTGAGTCCCATTTTGACACATGGCAAGACAAGCTGCACTGCGTGAAGCAGGTATCACATAAGTTATAATTATCGTTTATTCTGCTGAACTATCATGTTCAGCTGGGGGCCAGAATATGAACGTCTGGGTCATCAGTTATGGAACTATAAAAAAAACACTTTTAAAATGGTATATTTCAATTGAGTTCAAGCTACCTGGAATCTGTCAGCAGCTCATAGAAATGTTCATACAAAGACCTCTGCAAGTCACCTGGAGCTTCATGCCAGATCTGAGAAATACACGCCAAAAAATAGGCTGTTTAAAGTAAACAACCGGAACAAAATTAACAACACAATATTTGCTTAATACATCCATTTGTTTGACAGTTTTCTTGTCCTGTTCCAAAAATATATTTATATTCAGTTTAAAGCTCAACAAAAACATAAAAGAAAATAGTTAGCTTAGGAAATGGGTAGCACATAACTCCAAGTAAATAGAAACATCAAAACAATAATGGTTATTTATGTGCGGGGAAACTAAAACGGACAGACAGAAACAATAAAAAGAAAAAATAAGTAGGATCCTCCACAGTCGTTCTAATATTACCACTTTGAAGAAAGTATTGAGAAACCATATTACAAACAGCTAAATTAACTGTACTTACCTCAAGGTCACAGAGGAGGTCCTGGAAGGCGGGAACGTTGGGGATTAGCGAGGTCTCTCGTCCACTGTCCAGCGTGCCCACCAGGGAGAAGGTCAGATGCAGGATGTGGCTGTTGAGCTGTGGTCGTTTCTTCTTGTACAGCATGGACAAAAGCTGAAGGGAACATATTCAGAAGGTTTGAAAAGCACTCACCGCTTGTTTCAAAAGCCAAAATAAAGCAGAGACAAGATGCAAAATTTACTTCTGAGAAGAGCACCATATTCAAAGAACTCCCAAAACAGAAACTCATGACTCCACTTGCAAAGATAATAGCTTCACATTTGAAGGCAGCAACACAGTGGAAGCAAATCCTCACATTGATCACAAAATGAGCGCAACAGAGCCGGAGTACAACTGCTGTGCTCAGCGACCCACCTGATAGCCCTGTATCCGATCCATGTCCCATTTGGAGCTCTTGTTGCTGCGTACCACACACACAAGGGCCTTCACGGCCGCATACAGGCTCTCCACATCTGTTGCCATAGCGATGAGACCCAAGAGGGCTGAGGTGCCACCAACATTCTCCAGCATGCGAGCCACTGGCCGGGGGCAAAATGTTCGCACACCTGGGGAAAAAATGAACTATTGTTTTATTCCTGGCCATCAAGCTTGTTGCACAACTGCATTCATTTACAGTGGTTCCTTTGAGAAGAACTTGCATTTTTGCATGTCACAAAAATTCTTAAGAGAGAGACGGTGAGTGCCTAAACTATCATACTGAAAAGAATCCCACAAAGTCACAAAATGTTGCTAAGAAAGCAAAGGGAGTAGTCCTTCATTGAAAAAGGAAAGGGGTGAGGTAGATCATAATTCTACGGGATGACAATACTTTCATTTATACGGACGCACAAGTTTATAGTCTCCACTGACAAAATGTTCTCTAACACCCTAGTGTGCCTTAACACATAAAAAAGAGGCATACTCAACTTACCCAGGTACCCCATGAGAACAGCACCAAGACTGCGTGCAGGCCCTGCCAGATGAGCAGCAGAATTGTGCAGAATCCGGATGGGCGTAGCATTCTCGTGGGCTGACATTGCCAACTGAAACAATAGAGAAACAATCAAAAGTTGAGGACAAGTTATATGTAATTCATAATTAAAAAATGAATTACCACTTTATTGATTCCCATGGGGGAAATTTGGACTACAATGACAAACATACATATAACTACATAATAAAGCATATAAATACATCTACAAAGAAGACCAAATACATAATATTACACCTGTGCAGAACAATTTTACAAACATGCCATTGCTAATCACCACTGTTCAGCACCATATTTTTTAAAAAGATGGTTTTTGTGTCTTGCTCAAGGACACACCCCAGTGACCACCCATATAAACCTCGTCTCATTGCCACTTGCTTGACATTATTTTTGAGTCTGAAATCATAACTCAATCAGCCAGAGGGGCCCCTAAAGAAAATAAGATAATCAAATGAAAAGAAAAAAACTGAATTCTATTTTTATTTATCTCCATTGGGAGATTTGGTTTTCAATGGCATACATACAGATAGGAATAAATAAACAAAGGCATTAACTGTGATGTATCCTTTGCTCTAAATTTCTCTAGTCAAGGATTTAGTGCACAAGTTGAAGGCCTCATGAGAGGCATAGTTCCGACTTCCTCTACTAAAAAGCAATGGTGTGAGTGCACTTTTGAGTCTGAGTTTCAGTAAAGAAAAGAATATCAAAACAATTTATCATTAAGTATTGGGACATAAAATCAAGATACGACAGACAGAAACATCAGAGGGATAGTAAAGAAGAAAAACCTACACTTCAAGTGATGATCTCCAAATACCCGTGTGGCGCTTTTTCTTACAGGCCAAGGAGTCAAAACAAAACACACAGAGAAAAATAATTGGGTGCCACTTCTAACAACATCTCTAGAATACAAGAGAATAACACACACGACACTGGTCACCATGATACACATATTTGAAATTAGACAGCACTCTTCACATCCTTCAGCCAAGATACTGATCATTTGACACGTACTACAAGCCATTCCATTCTCACCTGCTTGGCTATTGATTTGCTATCCACTTTGTTGTAGATCTTGCGAATCTTGGCTATGGTCATCTGGGACATGGCATGGGCAAACACTCCAAACATCACACGCTCCTCGGTCATGTACGAGCCATTCACTTCGCCATCTTCTGAGAGAGACGTTTTTTTTTGGTTTTGAATTAATAAATTTTGTCTTACTAAATTTTAAAAAATACTGAATTTAAAGAATCATTTTGAAGGCCAGCAGCTTAGAAAAATGGTGACTGAAGGAAAGAAAATACAGAAAATATCCCAAAGTAAATATCACATATATGGCACATGTACATTGGAGCATTAATGCTCTTGCATGCTTTTCCAGAACAAGGGGAACATTTTTCTGGCATATTTCTTCGAAAAAAGAAATATTTCTCAAACCTCCAATAAAATTTCCGGAAAAACAGTAAATACGAAAAGTATTGCCAAGAAGAGGGCTAAGGTAAAAATATTGCATTTTATATCTACAGTTCTTGTCATTTCTATAAGGGCATGCAGATTTCCATGGTGAGCAGAATGTAGATGTCTTCCCAGCTGTCGAAATGAGACTTAAGTCACTGAGACTGAACATATAAAACTGGCCTCAGTACTTATATTTCTGAATATGTAGTTATTAAAGATTCTCTTCTGTTTTCTTTTGAACTATGAAAACTTGATATCAGCACTGAAATACGACTTTCGTGACCCTTCATCTTTGAAATCTTCAATTTTGTTTTGACACAGTAAACAATAAATGTATAATCAAATATGGGCCAATACCAGTCAGGGGAGCCTGCAAACTTCCAATGTACGTTGGTCCGAGATCGTAAATGTTTTTCACCACCGCTGCTGAAATGATGTCCTCCAACATGATACTGGGACCCTGTCGCCATAGCAACCGAGACTGGCGGCGAAGCTGAGGCGGAGTGCCGATGTAGGCAAAGACAGAGGTGAAGGCTGTTGGACTGGCTGTGCCTCCTCCACCAAGATTGGGAGAAATGTAGTGAAGCTGAGAGAAAGAAAGACGTATGAGGGAAGGTTTTACAATATCATGACACCATAAGGAAAGCCTTGTAAAAACTTGAATGGCAATACAAATCAAGCATCTTACATAAAACAAAGTAAACAAGAACGCCCTTCTCTCTGACCCAACACAGCTGGACTTAACACTTAACGCTGGAAAAGGGCAAGATTTCCATTTCTGTATTGATACTGGTTTGAATAAAATGATATAATGTGTTTGAAGTTTAGCAAAGACTTCACTAAAAGCAAATGTAACATATGAGAAATGCTCTGGCACTCTAGACCTTACATCTATATCTAGAAAAAGAAGCTTACAGAGGCAGCCTCCAATCACCCACTCACCTTCTGGGAGGACACAAGTTCTCCGTCCACAAATAGGCTGATGTTGGAATTTTTCATGATGCCAGCCCGGTGCAGCACCAGCACCAGATGGTGCCACTGCCCCTCCTGTGTCAGCTCTGGGCACCAGAAGCGCACCGTGTTGTCGTTGAGGGGAGGCTCCTGCTCCGTCTCACTGCCGTTACCTGACAGAGGAGACGTTACACAAAGCACTGGTTATAATAATATAAGCACGATAATGACTACATTTGACCAGAACAGATTATGGAGATATTACTCTAAGAAGAAAAAGGAGCAAAACACACCTCAGCAGCCATCAACCACCTGCAGAAAGAAAGCTAGAAGGAAAGAAAACAAGAAAGTAAGAAGTAAGGAATGATTAAGAAACAAAGACCCAAACAGAGGACATAAACCTTCAAAGGCAAATTAATTCAGTAAACAAAGCTAGCGTTTTTTTCCTGTGTAACCAGCAGAATGCTGAGCATTTATAAAATCATTGGGATGTTGTTTCAGTCCCACAAAGTCTTAATTGCTTAATCTAAGCAGAGATGAAATAGGACAACAACAGCCACATACAATGTACCGCATAACTAATAAAAACTGGCTCACTATCATTATTCAAGGTGTACCCCACACAAAAGATGACTTCAAAATGGAAAATCATACTAGAGGAAAAATGTCATGGGAAGTTTTGGTAATATAGAGGGAAACAATATTTGCTCACCACTCTCTAGCTGGAAGCAGAAATCCAAATCAGCATTTCCTACAAATAAAGCAGCGAAGAGAGATTTAAACTTATTAGAATTGTGGTCCAGAATTTATATTAAATATAGACAAACTATAATACCAAGCTAATAAGACAAATGCAGAAAAGATAAAATATTAGATGCATTCACTGAACCACTGCCTTTGTTGTTTTCCTGAAGAAGCTAGGACAAACCTGCGTTGGGCATGTAGTTCTCCTGGGTGGTGATAATGAGCGCCCGGTCCTTGGACATGATGGACACACTGAGACAGATCAGGTTTTCCTCCCGCCCTTGCAGATTCCGAACCACAGTCAGTAGCCTCACAGGGTGGGCGTCATTGCCAATGGCACTGAACTTGTCCACGCAGAACCACGTGGAATATGTGAGTCCAGACTGAGGTGGGAACACACGTTCACCTATGTAGATACCACAGGGAAAGGACATAATAAAGATGCGCATTGAAGACAAAAATCTCTTATAAATTAAGCATGGTCACATAATAAAAATGAAAAAAATCACAAATCCATATTAAAAGCCAAAAAGCAAGAAATTTGAGACCAGAATTGAAGAGAACCAGCAGCTATCACTTCCAAGCATTGAATCAAAACAAATAGCTTATGAAGCGATGAATCCATAACAAAAACAACACAGATAACAAATCAAACATATTCAGGAATGCTAACACATTACGTAGGAAAAAAAAAGGACAGTAAGCTAAAAAAAAATAATAAAGTCGAGGAAATCATTTTTTCAGTGGCAATTAAAAATATTTTCCATTAAGCATATCTAATTCAGAGTACAGATTTTCTGGCAGCCCCTCGGTAAAAAAAAATTTCCTGTGCCAGGCATTCAGCCCCAGAGACACTTGTCTCTAGTTGTTCAGAAATGTATCTGAATCAGTCTTCTGTCCGAGTGGTCATACCTCGTTTTCGAAGAACTTTTCCTTTTAAAAAGTCAATTTTCATATTGTTATGTCTATTCAGGTGACTACTTTCTTTGTTCTGCTTTTATCAAAGAGTCTATTTTCTTTCTTCATTTTTACTACTTCTATACTAGAGATTGTTCTACTCTGAGCTCTAAATAATACAGTGCAAACATTGTACTTATTCGAAAACTTTTTAAGTATCTTGGAAAGGTATCATAAAACTAGTCCAAAACTGCGAAGGTTTCCTACACTCACCAGTTCCAATGCCTCCTATAACTGTGGGCTCAGAGCTGCCGACAACGCCTCCCACCACAGAGGGCGTGGGAGGACCCTGGGGGGCAATGCTGGGCAGGTACAGGCAGGAGAAGCCCTCAGCACTCATGTCAAACTCCACAAACGAGGGAGTGACCGTTGACCCGTGCATACGGCTGTCCCGGGGCGTAGTCATGGACACTAGACACTTCACTCTGGTTAAGGGAACAGTGCCACCTGTAGAGAATCAAAAACAAAAATTAGACACATTGAGAATTTGAATACAAAATTTGAAAACAAGGATTTGGGAGGGGGGGTTGTTAAGCTCAGAAATTTCATTCCTTCCATAGCGAGTGGTATTTCAATGCAACAGACATTTAAGTTGGCCACCCAAAAATTCTAGACATGACCGTTTATAGCATGCACTTGGCAAACTGAACAGGGTCTCAATCTAAGTGTATCAGACATCATTCTGAAGAGATATAAATATTGAATTTCAAAAGATAAGCACACCTATTACCCTAAATGCTGGTATGAAAGAAACATTTCACTGATGTAGTCATTGGCTTTTCCTAAACCCCTGATTTCACTGGGCCGCAGTATATTGCAAAACCCATGTATTGAGTCAAGTCCATTACCTGCCGAGTTGAGCTTCTTCTCAGTCTCCATGGTGGCCGACTTCTCCTCCATTCCCAGCGAGACAACCATCCCGTCCGTGTCAGGCCAGAACAGCCCATCCTCTGCATACTCCTCCTCCACAGAACGGCAGCTTAGAGGGGAACCCAGACGCAGGAAGTCTCTGGTGGTGGCGGTGGCGGCGGCGGGCATAGTATAATAGATTAATATTGTGTCATATTAAGAGTACTTTCTTCTGACTAAATTGACAACCATTTTTTTTCACCACCCCTAAAGGAAAAATTAAGAAAATGCAAATGCAGCAGATTAATTTTACAGAACTTGTAAAGTCCAGCAGTCACTTTAACCCAAAGGTCCCAAACCCAGGCCCGAGTGTACAGTGTATATCTCGCAGTCGATGGATACGAGCTCAGAAGCTCACATCTTTTAGGGTCAGGAGGGCAGGGTTTAAAGGTTTAAATTGTTCCCTCTGACTCGATGCTGAGAATGCGCAAGTAAACCATAGCAGACACACTACTACAAACACATCAAACCAAAAGACGACAGCACAGTGGCTGATAGTTGTAAGAACACAGCTGGGACTCTCTTACATATCTCTATAACAATAATTGCATTTATATAGCGCATATCCATGCTCAAGAGCATGCTCTATGCGCTTTACAACAATTATTATCCCAGCAGACCCTCTGGGAACACTCAGAAACATTCTCAGTTTCCGAGGAAGCATACAGTGCAAGCTGCGGATTTCACGCACTCAAACACTATCAAACTGACAAGATCTTTCACTGTCTATAGCTGGGTACCCATTTCCACCTGGGTGAAGTGAGGAAAATTTGTACAAAGTGCCTTTCCCAAGGACACAACGTCGGGCCCCTGACGGGATTCGAACCCGCGTGCGAGTCCGAGGGCCTAACCACTAGGCCACCGACGTCACACTCTGGAACCAATTAAGACCTAATATCGCATTATCACATGTATTTTTGCATAGTGACTTCTCCGACATCTTCAATATCCAGATACAGGACTAAAAAAAAAAGTACTTTTCTCAATCCAAAACCAGATATCTGTAACATTTTTTTACAGATATCTGGTTTTGGATTGAGAAAAGTACTTTAAAAAAATGATTATTGACATCCCTCCTCACCTCAGATCTCTTGGGGTAAGAGACTGGGAGGCCAGTCTCTCAAACATGTACTGTAGGTGGGTGTGTAGAGGGTGGGACTCATCAGCCAGGCCAGCACTTCCGTGGCTCAGCAGCTCATGGGGGAATCGTGCGTCGCACATGATCTGCTGGTTGCGTTCGTTGCGGAGCAGAGACTTGAGGATGTCACCGACAAAAACCTTCAAGTCCAAAGACAGCTGGGGAGAAAATGAAAGAAACAAGAAAATAAGTTTCAAACCCCAGACTTGTTTTTTTTGGTTTTATTTCAGAGTAGACAAAAGCAAAGTTGAAACAAAAATCATCATACAGTGCGTGAAAAAAGCAAGACAAACAGAGACAACAGAGAAAAACAAAAGCAAAAGGGACCTACCAGTGGAACCCTTCAACCACTCGCTTATTTGTTGACTGTTTCTTTTCAGTTTGAGCTTCATTCAATATTCAAGATCTCAAAGAGGGAGACATGTGACATACAATGAATAAACTCCCATGACCAAGGTCAAAAGCCAGTGCTGACAACTTTCCACTTCAGCACAACTCCTCTGCAAATACTGCTCTTGATTTTGAACTCAGTGACTATCAATGAACAGCTACCAACCTGTACCCTATGCATCAGACTCATCACTTCAGCTGATATGCAGAGTAGATACATGTTACATAAACACTTACATAATTAAAATGGTTCATTTGTGTGGATCCAGCCTTCCTCACTACACTGAGCATGCCTGTAATTTCAAATATGTAAAGGATGCAATTTGAATCACGTTACATAAGACAGTTACATCATTCAGGGTCCAGCCTTCCCTATCAGGCTGCGTATACTTTTTGTAAACATGTAGGTGTAATTGTTCACAGGTTCCATTTCAAATGAACTACTAATTTCTAAGGCACAAAAACAACAACTCAGACACTGATAAAAGTATCACACCTAAGCACATATTATGGTCGTTTTTAAGCACAAGGGGGCTATCCCGGAAAAAGCTGTTTTGAGAAAATCGAACGTAAATTTTTTGGACACTTGTTCAGTTTCTTTAAAATACAAGGAGAGTTTTCTCTATAACCAAACAAATATACACAACAATGAAACCAAACTTCTCCTATAGGTAGGGCAATATCCACTTTTGGTGTAGGTCAAGATTTCTGGAAACCCCCGAAATCAGAGTTAGCCCGCTTCTCCTTAAAAGCGGCCATATACCAGACAGTAACAAAAATAGAAGAAACCTGAACAAAGGATTAAGAGTAAAACAATATCAATTTCTATGAAAATGAAAAGCACGGCTGTTTCACTCAGGATCACTTAGTTACCAGCCGACCTGACCTCCGAGACGAGGTCACACCCCAGTTACGCAACCTGCGGGCGCTCGGCCTCGCGGTCAGCGGCTCCCCCGTGTTGTTATGTTTTGTACACATAAAGCAACACAAGTTTTTATTACAGCCAGGAAAGTCAATGAAACAACAACCAAATGATCACATGAAGACGAAGGTGTAGTTTATGACAGTATAATTTTTATCACGGAGAAGTAAAAGAAAGTGTAGTTTAAAAGAGGGGGAGCGCGGCTTCCATCATTGATCGGTTATCACAAACTGACATGTTTAAAAATAAAAAAATTAAAAATAAACGGACCGACAGATTTTTACAGTCTTCATTGTCAGTTCACAGTCAGACTTTGAACTTTCAAACACACTTACAGTAATGAGGTTGGGCCAAAAAGTCTTGTTGCTATTGTTGATTAATGCACCCAGTCTCTTCATTGAGTGGGAAAACAGTTCAGTCCAGCCAACACATGAGTACATTTCACATGAGATTGAAGACCATTCTTTACACCTTCACAGCTAAATTGATGTTATTCTCTAGTAAATATTTATATAATAAGATAAACATACTTCTATAAAACTATTTAGGAATTAAGATTTTATTTGTGAATAGTCTGAATCGTCTTGTTGTCTTGTTTACTTTCTCCTGCGTTTTTCCACCGGCTCATGGAGTGTGGCCTTCAAATCTGACGATGTCTGTTGGTGTGCTTCCAACATAGCTTTAAGTTGTTTTTGTTTGTTTTTTTATGCCTACTGTTCTCTTTCCTACTCTGGCGATTGTGGCATGCAACATTTCCCCCCCCCCCCCCCCCACCTCAGCATGCCAAGGCCAAAGCCCCAGGCTTTCATAAATGGCAACTCGTATACTTCCGTAAGCAAAGGAATGCGCTTTTTAATGCACCCTTTGCTAAGTTTAACACAACGAGCACAGACAGAGCACTCGTTAATACTAGTGCTTGTGTCGTAAGCAGACCAAACATTGGCATTGTCTTCAACACATTTCTGTACGCCCTGCAAAGTTGCATCTGTAATTTGCTTTCGTAGTGTGTATACTCGTGAGCCACATTTCCTGCATAGAGTGTTGGATTGCTTGTAGGCTGCGTCGTTGTCGATGTTTATTCAATAATATAGCAATATGTCAGATTTAAAGTTTTTGCACAGAAATCGACGCTGCTTAGAAACTTTAGTTTTTAATCTTCTTCCACCACAAGTACGACACAACTAGTTTAAATTCTCAAAGTGGATGTTATAAGAATGTTCCAGCTTTGATGTTAAAAGGCTCTATAATTGTAAACACACAAGAAAGTCAGATGGTGGGTTCCCGTTTCACAGAGTTTTTCTTTGCACCGAGAGTTGCATTAGACTAGTCACATAAAGAGCGCTAGTTCATGTAAATTTAGGCCGGACCCAAAGATTTTTCACCAGAATGGAGAGAATAGATTTATAAAAAGAAATATGAAGGCTAAAACAAAAATTGTCGGTTCAAATTATGATAATTTGCTTTTAAATCCAAAAAATTCAATAACACAGAGCTGTACAACAGTGGTAGTATATAGGTATCCCAAGTGAAGATACAAGCTGGTTTCAAACTGCGGGTTATAGAGGAGATGCTGAGATTTTATTTGGTATATAACACAACTGGGTTTATGGGATGGAGAAAGGGAGTACTATGCTGTAAATTCCAGTTAATTTCTTGAAATTGTACCCTTTCCGCGGGGAGCGGGCAGACCAAGGGATCGGCCGGTGGAAGTGGCGTAACGCGTCGAGATTTATTACCTTCCGCGAGGGGTCACAGGGGTCAGAAGGGTCAGACGGACTACAACTAAGTGCGCCTCTCTGAGAGTGAAACTGAACAGCCCTGAAAGACAAATGAAAACTAAGACTTCCATGCTCTGACCTCCATTAACAGTTTTCTTCTGTGATCCTTACATCTACGAATAAAAGATATATGTGTCATGCAGCTGTGGAATCAGGCACTCGTTAATATTTAGAGCATATGAAGTTATTGGAATTATTTCAAAGCCTGTCTATGTGACTTGTTTTCGCTGAAAATAATATCCAAATATCATAATTGAATAGAAATTGAGATTTTGGCAATTTAAATAGCTGGGGGAAGTCTGATGTCGGAAGTAAAAATAGTGAGAAAATGGCCACCAAAGTTTAATTACTTCTATAGCTTGAAAGTCCTTGAAAACTGAAAATTTACATTTTTCATGCCTTTAATCAATGTTTTTCAGTAAAATCTACGTGGAAATGAAGTTTAAAAAGGACATAAAAGATGTTGACAAAAATTTGATAAAAATTGCCAAATCGGCAAAAGTGCCGGTTTCATCGCTTTCACCATTTGGACGAACGCCTGATTTCACAATGATGTCTCACATATTACCCACAACATGATATCAGTGCAAGAACACATTACTTAAGGCCCAGCCAGAAGTCGGACATGAAGAGCAATGTTTGATGCCAGTTTTTTATACGCATATACGTCTCTCCAGGACACATAACCAACAGATAAATAAATCAACAAGCATCAAACATCAGCTAACATACACCTCGTTTTGAACCCACAGCTAAAAATCAAGGTAAGAGAACTTTGTAGCCCCAGTGTTTGGGGCCATTTAGATTTTAAAAAATTTTGTTTAAGAGTCACTTTTGGGGTTTTCATAGTCACTGGTCCTGCTTTCAGGGTGTGAGGTAAAGACTGTTACATAAAGCCTGCGGTGGGGTTCAGCTAGATTAAGGTTACAAAAGTGCATAGAGCATATTATCCAGTGTGGATATGCACAATATAATTGCATTTATATTATCATAATTATTATTATTGTTATTTTTATCATTATTAAAAATTATTCTTGTGAAACATAAAGTAAAAGTAATGAGTTCTGTTACCCTCAATGGAACAACAAAACAGCTAAAGAGAGCCTGCAGCCTGAGATCAGAGGAGAAAAGTTCACGCATCACTGGATCTATAACAACAACAAAACAGCCCATCAGGGATACCTGTGCATGATCTGGGTGTTCCACAGCCGGCAACAGGTGGAATATGGACAGCACAGCCCCAGCATGCACCAGCAGTGGGTCCACACCGGCGTTGAGATTGAGCGACAGACTGCCTGTGCTCCCACTCTTGGGTCGCATGGCGGAGGATAAGGAGGAGGTCGGGGTGGGAGGGGAGGAGGAGGAGATTGTGGAGTTGATCAGACTCTCATCTATCACAGACGTGTGCTTCTTGAGGCAGGGAGAGTCCGTCTTCAGCTGGCTGGGCCTGGTGTGGGTGAAAATGATAAGGAGCTTAATATCCGCGAGGGAAAATTTTCTTGCAACTGCTGACAGTGATTGTTCAAGTTTTTCTCCCCTCATTTCGACACAATTCAAATCATTTAGTAGGTGGCAGACTTACTTTGATCTGGTCTTTCAGTGACAGCCTGGGCTGAGCAGTACACAGTATCCCAGTAGAAGGACTGAGATTGTCAATTAAATAGACTCTGTCAAGCACTAATTGAACTCATCAATGACAATGAGTCAAACTATTACACTGAGGACTCCAGTCTCTAGACACTGAACCAGAACACTTACAGCATAAATAACACATTGCAGACCATAAAATAAGGAAGGAAGCGCTAGTAATCTCTCTCTCTCTCTCTCTCTAAGCCATTCGCTCTAATTAACTTAGAATTAGCTGAATGACCTGACTGCTCATAGCAAACAGCTACTGTAATCATCTCAGTGAGTGTGTGAGGTAGAAGAGTGAAGGATGGACGAAAAAGACAATCACATTTTTACTAATCAGCAAAGTACCCCCCAAAACCTCACTCGTGATAAGACTTCCACCACAAGGGGACCTCCTTAAAAGGCCCCATCATTAGCTTTATTTTTATTGTTAACAATTGTTCAATTAGGCCTAAATGATAAAAAATAATATAAGTGTGAAGGTGAATCTGTCCGTGAGTAAAGCATGATGTGTGTATCGGTATAAGTGTGTGGAAGAAATGGTGTGAGAGAGAGTATGTGTGTATGTGCGTGTACGCATGTGTGCTATTAAGGACCAAATCAATTTGTTGGTGTCTGGAAAAAAAATATTATTTTATCTTATCTTAAAAGAGGAGTCTGTCAGACAATCCAGCACATTAACCGACCCCAGTGATACATTTTCACCACAAAGAGAAAGAAGTGAAGATGGTATGACAAAAGTATGTGATCAAGTGGCCATGCAAAGACCATTCTACGAGGGATAGTGGAAAGAGAATTAAAAAAGGAGGAAGAAAAAAGAAACCATGAACAGAAAACATCACAGAATGGACAAAGAAACTTTTTGCAGAGACCAAGGCCTCAAGAAAAACTGAAAAAAGAAACTGTCTGAGTACAAAGACCATCAAAATCATGTCCTGAAGACTCCACTAAAGGTCAAAAGGCATAAGACAGGTAGACAGAGCTACAAAGAAGCACAATAATTATTGGAAGTAACAAGAATAACACAAAAGTCATATCTGTCACCAGATACCTATAAGTCAAAAGTCTTTGGGGAGGAGTAGGGGCTAAAAAGAAGCATATAATTCAGGGCTGCTAAAAAGCAAAACAGAAAAATTCGGAACAGAAAAGAAGTAAGACCTATCAGAAGCAACCTCCAACAACAGAAACGATGAATCTTAAAATAAAGAAAATCAGGAAAGTACCGACCAAACTAGACTCTTATAAACATGACTTCCTCACCTGTCAAAGGCGTCCAGAGCCATGTCATAAAGGTAGCGGAGAATTATGCAAGCTGACAACAGAATTCTGGGAATGCTTGATGGGGCCCTGAAAAACATGCATTGATATATAATGACTTTTGCATAAAACAGTAAGGTACAAAAGCTGAAAATAATATTTCATGTGGACTTAAGTCTTGGACAAAGTACAAAACTGAGACCATTTGCTCACCAATATGACATGCACAAAGAGAATAAAATATAAACAAATGTGTAAGAAGGAATTTATTAGGAAAATCGGCACCTCTGTCTTTGTTATGAGTTATCTTTTTAAATGTAACTACGCCAGCAAGGGCTGTTCGGACCGATATACACACAGAATGTTTCATTCTTTCTCTCACACAACTTCCCACAGAGAAGGAAAGATATATAGTATCCTGAAGAGTTTAAATTTCATAAAGCACAAATGACTAAACACAGAACTATTGCACTGTGTCCTGAGAACTCACTTGTCCTCTCTGCTGTGTGAGAAAACGGCCACAAAATGCTCCACAGACTCAGAGGCCACCTGGCCATCCACAGCAGCCGGAATGTCTACAGTGTTGGAAAAACAGCCCAGTAACCGAACTGCCTCAGTCAGACTGTCATAGCGAACCTGGGAGAAGGTTTTAAAGGGTTATCAAAGTAGGAAGTTAAATATGCATGACTTGACCAGAACATGAAGAAAACGAAACTATATAAAGATATCGATGCATATTTAAAGATTTCTTCAAACAGAAACCAGTTTAGGGTGAGGAAAGAGAATCATATCAACAGAATAACATAAGAATCATTTTGTTCAGAGAAAAAAGAAAGCAAGATAAAAAATCTGATACAATAGGGTGACAGGTAAAAACTAGAACCTCCCAGTGGCATCATCCAAACACCTTAAAACAGACATTTTGGTTTGACAATTACAAATTTCAATTTAAGAGAGTTGCAAGAACATCAAGATGGTTATTTCAAGAAGAGAAAAACTTAACCCGACAGAAAGAGAAAACAATATGACAAGAAAGAAAGCACAATAAATAATGTACAAGCAAAAGCCCTAAATTACTCAATTTTTGTTACAGAATTTAGGAACTTTCAAAACTAAGAGGCTCTTTTTCTCACTTATAAAGTTTAAAAAGCTTTTCCTAATAAAGCAACATAATAATAGACACAATTCACAGAGTAGACAAAGGGACCAGAAAAGAAGCAGAGGGATACAACATTCCAGTAGAAGGACTGAATACTGGATAAAAATTCTCCCCACATGGAAATCAAACCTGGGTTTTAGGTCTCACAAGGGCAAAGCACCTAAGCACTACCCCACAGACACCAGTTACATCACAGTACAGAAGCCACCCACCAACTATGCAGCACACAAAGAAGACTGACCTCTGTAGTGAAGAACTTCGCATTAGCAGGCTCAAACCTCATGGCCACTGTGAGGGTACTGAACACAGTCTTCAGCATCAGTAGCACTTCCCTCTTTTCAACTAGGAAAGACAGAAAGATGGAAAAGTAAACAGACAAGTAGATATGATAATGGCATTTACATTGGTAAAGAACACTCAACTAGATTAAAGACTTAGTAAGTTTTAGTCATAGTAAAGAGAAGCACATGGACGGAATTTCAGTCACATACTACCTCGAAAAAGCAAGACAGAAACTCCAACAACATGCTAACATTCAACTCAAAACAGACTTCGTTGTGAAAAATGGATGAATATTTTTCAGTAAAATGTTCAGTTTAAATTTTAGCTAGAACAGCAGTTTACTCTCCAATAAATTAAAAAAGTAAAGCTAGAAATCAGAGGCCCATATGTTATGGGCTTCGGCAAGAACTGTCTTACAACTCCAGTTTGACTATGATTTGACCTCTCTATCTCTTATCTCGTCGCAATATTTTTGTAATTTAGTGCTTAAATGTCCAGCTTTAATGGAATTGCTTCGATTTTATCGACAATTTATCTTACTTTTCTATCGGAAGTAATATTTCGCTCCTACAAAATTACACAAAAACCCAAATCGTTACCTGTATCCCACGGTGCCTTGGGTGGATCAGCCAGACAACCTTCCATGGATACAAGCACCGACATGACGTAGACAAACCCGCCAACTTTCCGGAACACTGTTCTTGTGCGGTGACTCTCTCGCAATACACTCAGTAGAGACTGCAAGCAGAGCAAAAATAATCTTTCATTCTTACAGGGCTACGTCTTTTTCATGGCATCACTGTCATTAATTAGACTTTGTACTTCTCACTTTCATCTAAGTTACTTTCTTATTCAACATTTGTTCACTGAGAAGGGAGGGGGGTGTCTTTAGTCTAGAGATCATTAATGTAAATAACTCAGGAGGCAGCACCCAAACAACACTGCACTCACCTTCAGTATGTGTGTCTTGAGCTCAAGGTCAGTGACAGCCACCGTGGGCATGAGGCCCAGCAGCGTGCCCATATCGTCGTCGCCGCCAGGGGAGAGCACCAGCTGCTGGACAATATGCAGCGCCGGCTGGCGACAGTCGAGGAAGGGAACCATGTTGTGAGCACAGCGTGCCCCTCCGCACTCACGGAACACTCCTGTGGGGGATTATATTACAGCAAATTAACTTGTGGCTTGTTAAAGTCAACCAGCTCAGTTAGTTGTTTGCCATACCTTAAATAAAAATTCTGATGCATTTATCAGCAAATTATCTTTAAAGAGACCAAAAACAGGTGAGGAAACCAAAAGCTTAGAGACAGCTACTAGCCTATTTAGACAGATTTAAGTTTAAACTTTTGTTGGTTGGAATGTATCTATAAACAATACAAGCATTTTTTGTCTTTAAAAACTTCATATTACACTGGAAAGTTATTAAAGAGGCACAAGCAGCAGTATTGCATGTGTAGAGGCAAAAAAACCTCCCCAAAGAGCTCAAGTACAAGAACGACCCATTGCGAACTGCAACCATGGCCATCTGCACCATAGAATGAAGCAAAAAAGCTTTGAAAGCATCTCTGGATCAATATCATTCACAAAAACTTCTAAACATGCGGCAGAAGCCCTGAGAAAGGTGTTCCCCGATCCCTACCAGCATTGGAACTGTTTCCAGAGAGCAGCACAGCCAAGGCCTCCATCACCAGCAGTCCCATTTCTTGCTCTGCTGTAGACACAGGGCTTACAGCTGTGGAAAAAAGTACAATGAAATTACATACACCGCTCGAAATTGGGATAATATGTTTTATTTTAGAAAGGCTAAATGTATATTTGAGCACAATTCAATCATCTAAATAAGTAAGCAGCGTTTTATAAGCAATGTTTGATTTATGAATGGAGCAGGACCACCTGAAGAAAGTTCAGTTTATCAAAGAGGCAGTACCTTTTGAGCACTTCGGTTTAAGAAAGAGGTCGCCCCTCTTGAGCACAGTTCACTTAAAGAAAGAGGATGCACTCTTTGGATATAATATAGCATTTTTAGATTCAGTGTCCTAAGAAAATTTCCAGACAGATAAATCCCAAAGAATTCAGAAGACCAAACCAAGGACCTCAACATTGTGAGGTTGTGTCTCAACTTCCACATCCATGCTGACCCCAACCCCGATGAGAGCAATTATGTTTGTTAGGTTGGAGAATAAAAGTATTGAATTGTGCAGTCAGAAGAAGAACTAACCTGCCACTGAAAGTCTACATGGACTTTGTAAAATAATGAACAATATTTAGAAGTAGGAGCAAGGGAATTTTAAATCATCTTCCATAAGACAAAGCGGTACCTATAAAAAGTTTCTAAAAACCTATGCCTATATTACATAGAAGTAATTCTAGAGTCCAGGTTACCAGCATCATTTTCACAAAAAATTCCAACTCCTTTTCGGGAGTCCAGTAAATATGAAGAAAACAAAAAACCTGTATGACAAAAGCCTTATCGACATAATAATGGGCACTAATTTGCTGCAAGTCGTATAAGATGACAGAGAGAAGTAACGCAGGGCAAAATTGGCAAAAAAATGAGGCAAGAAACAAAGTGTAAAAAACTTTATCAGCATTTCTCAGTCTGAGGACATACTTGCAGCAAAAAACAGGTTTCCATTAGGTAAAAGTTCTGGTCTGAGCTATAAGAAAAATATGCTCAAAGTGCCCACTTTGCCTAAATTAATTATTTGGTATAACCATGTAAAGAAGTAGACCTACCAGGCAAGATGAAAGTATTCAAAGATATCCCACAACTTTTGTTTTCATTAACCTAGAACACATGTACATTGCAAGAGCACACAAACCAGGGTCACTGTGTTGTTCCTTGAGCTGTGCTGCATATCTGTGTAGACAGGTGACTAGAACCTCCAACATGCCCACCTCCCGGAACACATCGCGGTACACGCTGTGGTAGCGCAGCACACGTAGTAGAGACTTCATACACATGATGCTGCACTCTATGGAACTGGGAACAACAACCAAACAAAAGTATTTGAACAGGCTGCTTATCGTGATTTTCTCATCATGTTGTTTGGTATCAGTATTACAGTAAGCTATCCCAAGATCATTAAACTTTTACACTGGTTTTGCAACATGACAAAACTACATTTGATTAAAAGAATCATTGTCACTAAAGGACACATCAAATTATCTCATGAAAGCAATCTTCATGAATTTGAACAGGTGAAAACCAAAACTGCATACCTATCTGAGTCAAGTAAGCTTAAATTATTCCTTGCTGAATTAAAAATCACCACAGAGCTTTGCTTAGAGCAAAAATAATTTGAAAATGACTTTACTTTCACACACAGAAGGGAACAATATTTTGCCTCAGAACTCAAGTTCTACTTCAAAATACGAAATTCTTTGACAAAACTTAAACTTCTGATAGATTTCAAACCCACGATCAGAAATTTTTTAAAAAACATTTACCTCAGCCATCCTTCTACCACTATTTACCACCAAACTAGAAAAATGACTTACAATAGTTACATAATCAGACAGATGAGACATCGAGACATTTGATAATTTGATTCACCGAACATTACAAATACAAAACACATTTTACATTTATGATGATTGGAAGAAAATGAGAATATGGACAACTCTTGTACTTTAGGATCTTAACCATCTTTACATAACAAAGTGCTACCCACTGTCAGTAAGCAGGAAAAAAACGTGAAGGAAAGAAATTTGTTATCCTCATCAGAAATTGTGCTCACAGTCGCAAACAGCCATAAGTGCACTAACAACAGTAAAATGGCGATGTAGAATTACATGACATGTACTAGGAGATTGTCATTCACACAAACTCAACAATTACACTGAAAATTTCTCTTTTTAAAAATTATTCCTCTCTTTGTATCTCTCACGCACACGCATGCACGCACGCACACGCATGCACATGTGAGTACACACACACACACACACCGACAGACAGACACACACATACACACAAACACAAATGCTGTTTTTTTCCTTTTACAATGAGGTCTGTAAAGAGTCAGTACTTACTGTTGTGACTTGATAAGAATACTGACACTGATGAGTTCCTTACACGGGACAAAGTTCAGGTTGAACACAAGGAACTCGAGCAACTCAAAGAACTTGTTCTGAAAGCAAAAATAAAGCAGCCACAAACTGTAACAGAAGTTCATCCCATATAAGAAAAATTACAGAGACATATCGGCTATTGTTAGAGTGGGAGCAAAAAAAAAGGCACATAAGAATAAGTAAGAATTAATCAATGATAGGAAGAACAGATGCTATTAGTAAGATATTGTACAAGGTGTTTTTACTTCAACAGAAGTGTTTTACGCCCTTATTGGCACAACTTAAGAAAGGTACCAAAAGTCGCCAGAAACCATTTTGAGCTACAGGCTGATAATGACCAAAAAAATCACTTTTTTGACCAAAATGCGTTTCCATAAAAAAATGATAATTCCACCATTTTTAAACAATGTGTTATAAGAGTTTTCATTGATTTGACTTTTAAATATGTTATTTTGAATTATTTTGAGGGTATGGTATTTTTTAAAAAGATAATGAAAACTGCTTTTAAAAAGTGTTAAAATCTATTCTTGAAGCATGTTTTCTCTTCCCCGCTATGTTTTACCATTGAATTCTAATCATGATAACGATGTCAACTGAATGCCGAATTGGAAATGAATTTTCCATGAATAAATACATTAGAAACAACTGAATCATCGTTGTTGTTTTTTTTAAAGTTTGTAAGTGTTCTAAACTTAAAAACTAATTTTCTCAAAATTAGATCTTTATACCCTACCTCGCAAAATGTGTAATATCTCAAAATCTACTTGAGACACCTCAAAAATTCAAAACCACAGTGTTCAGCATTGAAAGTCCTATTACATACAACCCTTAACTCAATATGGTTAAAATCCGACTTTTGGTACCCTTCTTTAGGCACACATACATTTAGGAGGCCCTGATAATATGCACAGCTGCTGAACAAAAGATAAGCAAAACTAAACCACAGTATGACAGTGGCCTCACCTGAATATCCTCCGGCTTGAGGTAGATTTTCTCAGCAAACTGAGAGAGTGTGTGCTGTGACTCCAGGATGAAGTAGTTGGCATTGTCCTGGTGGTAGATGCTGCTGATCACATCCAGGATGGTGCTGCACAGGTGGCTGGTGGTGGACTGGGGGG